TGAGGATTTAAAAAGTCAATGAGGTATTAGTTTTGATGTCAAAAGTTAAAAGAAAATTTAGCTTAGCCTTCAAACCAATATTCAAACGTTACCTCATCTACTCACCTATACTATCTAGCCATATCTTTCACATGAAGCAAATGCAACCTGTACTACCCTGAACTCAGTAATTTACTAAGAACCTCTGGTTTATGAATACTTTCCCCTGTCCTGAACAGCTCCATCTTTAAAGTGGCCTGAACCACACAGAGGTCTCCTGACCTACTGTGCACAGGGAGTCTATGTCACACCACAGGGCCATGTGTTGGGGTTATTTACTGTCTTCCACTGTATGCAGCCATCATAGGGGATGGTGCCACTGTGTGCTAGAAAGAAAGACTCAGGAGAATGTCTTCTCTTCCTCCTCCTCTTCTCCCAACAAAGTCTGACACCTTTCAGCAAAACTTGACATTACTGCTCAGGTGGCCATGATGGCTCCATGCAGTCGTCATTGCACATGACTTTATTAAACCTCATTTACTGATTCAAACCAGGAAGACCAAAGTGCTCTTGTGACCACCTGACGTGTCTTCCTCCGCACAGAGTAGGGAGGGCAGGAACTTCGAACTCCACCCAGCTGCCTGGGGCCTGGCCCCAGTGCTTTGATAAGGGGACAGTGACAGTGATGACAGTGCAGACAAGAGGTGGAGCTGCACAGGCACAACGGGCAGCTCCACACCTGGAGGAGGAGTATGCACTCGGACCACTCCCTGCCCGGTGCTCTCCCACAGCCAAGGCTGAGCAGAGCCCGCCAGACAGAGCTACCTTGATTTCAGGCAATCTACCGTTCACAACACTCTCCTGAGAACACAAACAGGACAAAGCCATTCTGCACAGTGAGTGTTAGGTGAACACACCTTCAAGCCACTATCTCACCAACCCATTCTGAAGTAAGGAACCTAAGGTTCGGGCATGTTGGGCCACGTTTCCTTTGCCGCAGAGCTGGACCAGCCATGCGGCAGCTCTACGGGGAGAAGGTGAGTCTCCTGCCTGCTGGGTCAAACTTCTTTCTCATGTGGTTTGTCTCTCAAGGTTGACCAAATGAGAGTGAGATATTTCATGAGACTTTTTTTGTTGTTGTTGTTAATTCTCACTAAAGAATATTTTTCCATTGATTTTTAGACAGAGTAAAAGGGGAGAGAGATGGAGAGGAACATCGATGTGAGGGAAGCACATCGAATGGCTGCCTCCGCATGTGCCCCAACTAAGGCCAGGGATCAAGCCTGCAACCGAGGTACGTGCCAGGACCAGAATCAAACCCGGGACTCTTCAGTCTGAGGGCTGATGCTCTATCCACTGAGCCAAACTGGCTAGGGTAACATCTTTTAAAGACACCTAGAAGCTGCAGGCAGCTCACAGATTATGCAAAATGTTAAGTAAATTCTGTACAGTGACGTAATGATTCCTAAGCACAAGCACAGTAAAGCCAGCTGACGTAGCCCAATTGTGGAGACGGTAGGTCCTGTGACTAGCTCCCCTGACAAGTGAAACCAAAGTTGGGGAGATACGTGAGGGGGACAAGGATGAGAGGGCACACACACAATGAAAACAGAGGGCTCTATCCCACCTCAGGCACCCCCTCAGCCCAACTGTCTGACAGGGCAGTAGCTTGGGGGAATTCCTGGGACCTATACCAGCCATCACTGCAGAGGGCCTCCCTCTCCCCCGGCCGCCTGCTCAGCCTCCGCCTAAAGCCCCGGATCCCAAAGCCAGGCACCTTTCCCAAAGACAAGCACTGGGAGCTCAGTAAGCACGGCCTTGCGGGACCCCGTTGCGAGGCCTGGTTGTGGTGTTTGCTGTGCCGAGCCAGGCACTGGTATTATCCCCTTTATAGACAAAGAAATTGAGATGTACTAGTTCATTCAGAGTTGAACTGCCAAACAGGGAAGGGGATGGGGACCTCTGTCTCCTGGACCATGTTCTCACGGATCTGTGAATTCTGGTTTCCAGTCTCAAACGCATTCTCGGGTCACTGTGGGCAGCAGGGTAGGGCTGCGGGAACATTTGTTTTGGCATCAAGCAGAGCCACTGGTTTCTCATCTGCAGCTTACCTTCTGTTTAGGTTAAGCACGTTATTTAAACAACAAACTTCAGTTTCTGCACCTACTTAAAAGTAAACTGAGATGCAAGATGCCTGGCACATAGACCCTAAGTCTTAGCCACTTTCTCTTTATCAATTCAAAAAGAATTCAAAATTATACTAGAAAAATTTATTTTTCATTGAAGTTGACAAGAGTTTTTATAAAGAAAACATAGTTGTGTGGACAGAAGCAAAACAAGGAGGACTTCCCTCTCACCAGTGTTCTCCGATCTCACTGCAAAGTTCTCAACGACTGATACGGCAAGAGCAGTAAGTCATCAACCAAAGGGGCCTCCAAGGACTAGACTGTGATTATTTCTTAAGCGTAACAGGAATTAAATTTTTCTGACGAGAAATACAAGAAAAATGCCGGTACAGGAAGTTCTCACTTAGTATCGTTGATACATTTCGTGACTTTAAGTGAAATTTTACCATAGTCTTATTGATGTAAACAAGAGTCAGGCTCCTAGGGCATCTCACCACCATTTTAACAAGGACAGAATTCAAGGGCCTTCTACACTGTTCATTTCCTTAATGATCCATGCTCACCACCCCAAGTGGAGATTTCCATATTCCGTAAGATAAATGCTACTCTAAGAATGGTTTTCAAAGGTTAGCAGCATATTGTCACATGACCATCTTTTCTGGCTGTTAATGGAGGCCAGGGAGCAGGGCTTGCCCTGAGGCATAGGAGGGGATGTCCTGAGGCCTGGGTGTGGAGAAGTGAAGTGGATCCAAAGGCAAGAGGGGCTAAAGGCCAGATGCTGGCTGAGTTCTGTGAAGAAAAGGAGATACACTTCCTACTCCTCTCCTAAAAGACACCATTATATATAGCTTAGTTTTATTATTTATTTAAAGAAACATTTGCTTGCTATCGTAGGAAAACACGTAAGTTACAAGCAGCACAAATTCTAACAAATTCCCATTTTACTAATGAAAAGTCGATTGCTGCTCCAAGCCACACACTGGGGACAGGAACTAAAAACAGAAGCACCAAGGACTTGATTCAAGGCTAATCCAGGAAACCTTTTTGCAAGTCACACCCAACTATGCAAGTGATAGCGAACTTCCCCTAATTACCCGACTGCAAGAAATATGACCAACCACTCCAGTTTTAGCATCTCACATAAAGGTAGTTATCGACCGGGGGACCAGGCTTTCACACCAGCGCCTCATCTCATCTTCGCAGCCAGACTCTGAGAGAATGGAGCCCTCGCTGCTGTTCCTCATTTCACAGGTGAGGACACCTCCCTGATGGAAAAGCAGATTCAAGAGGTCAAGTGAGCAGACCACGGTCAGAGGGCCAGGGTGACAGGCATCGAGCTCTGACTGGACTCCAGATTCAGGGAGACCGAAGCCACAAACTCTTGAAGGCACGCAAGGAGCTTAACTCAGACACACCTGTAACTAGGAATGAAAAACTATTTTTTACGAAATAAATGATGTTAGTAGAACAACTTAATGTCTTCCTAACCAATCAACAACTATCACACCCAAAATAAATTTATGAGGCAAGTTTTAGTTTCTGAAATGTACTAAACTACCTTATACCCACGTCTTTAAGAAAGAATACTTACATCAAAATTCTTTACCAAGAAATGAGTAAGGCCATGATTTCAGCTGAGAATGAGATAGAAAGAGCAAGTTTAACGACACACATTTGGGTTCTCTGTTAGCTTCCAAAACATTTCCTTTTTAAAACTATCAGGACCAGCTAATAAATTTGAAGGACCCTTCGCCAAGGAGCTAAGTGGAAGTTTTTTCCTTGCAAAACTCACTGGAAATTTACATTATATTTGCTATCAACGCAAGTGCTACAAATCTGGCCTGGAACAAAAGGGATATTAAGAGCAATTCACTTGTACCACTGAGGGAAAGCAGAATGCTGAAACAGAAAAGGGTAAAAGAAGAAAATCATGGAGAACCAGCACTTCAGAAACAAAACCGAGGACGCGGGGTTTTCTTCTTATTTTAGTAGAGACCCTCCTAAAGCTGAAATCTTCTCAATCGCCTCAGAATACCTTGACAGACACTGTAGGCTGTTGTTCTTTTAAATCCGGCCACCAATGTTTTCACTACCTCCTACCCCAGGGGGGAGTCTTTCCATGGCACCGAAACTCAAAGCACGTAAAAGTCATCGTCTTGATGCCCTTAATAACTTTTGAGCCGAGAATACTTGAAGTAGAGGATCAAGTGCCCAAGTCAGATCCTGGAATATTTTGGGCTTCTTATCAACCTTTCCCCAAATAAGTTTCAAAAGCCCGTTCCTTTGTTGTGTTTCCACCATCTGACAACTGGCAAAGATACTGCAGATTTTCTCTCTCCATTTCTAAACTACCGTCTGCTGCACGAAATAGCCTCCATCGTCAATGATCCTTTGGGGG